CTCCGCTGTTCCGGCGCTTCACCACCTGCATGACATACAGCTTGCCGCTGCTTCTCTCCCGACTCAACATAACTTTCCCGAACCCGCCTCGTCCCAACATTCTTATGAATTCATAATTGTCCAGACTCTGGAAGTTATCGTCGTAACATTGTAATGAATTAAATGTAAAAATATGCCTTGCCTCCTCTTCCACTACCACAGATTGTGAGACCTCATTTTAATTAGTGTCTTTTATAAATCCGTAGCAATCACAAAAATCATACTTAGCATGCATTTGTCCTTCACCCTTTTCTTAATTTTATGTTTTTTTTAAGCTTAATTTCGTTTTATTTGTGATTTCAGATTGTATCGGCTTTCTGCTCTAAGTGCCGTAGTAATATTGTTACACACGCATTGGCTCTGAAGTTTAAATTGGCGTTAATTCATAAATTTTGAGCTAAGAAAGATATCTGTTAACTGAAAATATAAAGAGTTGTGGTATATTAACTGTCGACTACGACAAAGTTACAACAACGTTAAAAATTGCCTCGAACCGCAACGAAAGGAAGAGGAGGTAGACTCGCAGAAGTAGACGATGAACAGAAAGAAACAAATGAAATGAATAGAAAAACAAATATATTTTTTTGGTTTATCTCTCTTCTTCTCTTCATAGTTAGGTCACAGTAAGTAAAGACAGGCTAAGTTCTTGCTAGATGACTATAGAAAACGGTAGATAATATTAAGATAAACTGTCTAGCGATTGTTGGTTAAAATGTAGTTAAGTCTGATTGAAATACAGATTAGTACAAACTTAAAAATATATTACCATGAGATATGAGTGCCGCGCAGGAGAGCTGACGAGGCGCTCTGCCACCGCGCGGATTGCCGCCATCCACTGTGACCTACGGAGTGCGGAGCGCGACGCATGTAGTGTGTAGTGTGTAATGTGTAGTGTGTATGTGTACAATATGTATACACACATACAACACACTCGAACAACTAACGGTACTAACGGTTTTGATATTTTGCAAAAGACGCAGCGCCAAACACAATATCGGCAGTATTTCAGAGACGTGGGAGTAGGGCATCTTACAATTTGTCACAAGTAATAGCAATGTCACACCAATTCCTGCATCTGCTGTATGCTCTAAAATATCAATAACTAAATTATTTTCCTCTTAAAACTCAACAGAGTTGTATTAACCGTTGAAATTGTAACCTGTC